GCAAACAGGCGACCCCCTCCATCGCCGGCTTCGCTCCACGCTTGTCCAAGCCGAGACACCCGAGCACAACCCTCCCTGCACGCAGAGCAGTTTTCTCTGATTTACCTGGAATTCTACCCCAAAGTGGCAGGCAAAGGTGGGGAACAGGACTGATCCCTGAAACAGCTCGGCTTGGGGGAGGCGCGGGGGTGTCCCACAGGCTGCGGTGAGCCCTGTGGCAGCGAGGCAAATGCATCCCCCACCTGCCCGGCCCCTTTTCAGGGCACAGGCCCCCATGCCCCTCGAGAGACCACACCAGGCAACAACAGTGAAGAGGCGTCCGCGAGCCCCATCACAAGGAGCCCCACGTGCTGCATTTTCGCACGTCCTCGGTTTCCCAAATCACAGCTGCAGACTGCCTGTCGGGCACAAAGCGATGGTGGAGAGGAGCACGCAAGACCTCCCCTGCCAAAAAACAACGCTTCTCCTCACTCAAGCCCAGTTACTTTGAGGTCCCTGAGAGGCACAGAGCTGTGACTGCCAAAGCCCCCGCGCACCCTGCAGAGCTCATGTCTGACGCCATCGCGTCGCGATACATTAAAATTAAGAAGCAAAGGTGCAGGGCACGCAGGTTGTCCACAGAAACCCTCACCTCAGGCTGACAAAGGGAAGAAATTAATGTTAGATATGATCCAGAGACCTTAATCCGAAGCAGCTCTAACTGATACCCGCAGGCTGTCAGGCACCTGGTGCTGGTCTGCCCGAATTGTTGCGGGAGAAAAACCCAATCGAACCCCATCTCCACACCCAGGTGGGAGAGGAAATCAGAGAACCAAAGCTGCCCACCAGCCCTGTGCTGCTCCAGAATCCTCACGGCACTCGCCGCGCTGCCCACCGACCCACTCCCGCTCCAGAGTCAGAGCTAATTTGAGCAGCGAAATTGGGGCCAGACACCAGTTTCTCTTTGTTTTTGGCCACATTGGGCTCACACCGCATAGGAGCTCAGTTTTAGCAGTACAACCTTTTCCCCCCTTGGGGTTTAAAGAGAACGTTTCTGAACACCTCTTCCACGAAACGTATGTGTTTTTTAAAAATTAACAGCTGCGCTTCATTTTAGCCCAAATCCAATTAAGATTGTGCAACATCCCCAGAGATTCCTCTGAAGACAGTGGGAATTAGCCAGTGCACCCTGCCATGAACACATTTACCCTCATACTTCAGAATAACTGACCTGTTTTTGACCCAATCTTCAGATTATCTGCATGTGGGAAACAACACGTTAACGTTTTGCATTTCTGCGGTGCAATCCATAAGCAGACGCAGCCGTTCTCAGATTTTCCAAAGGGACCCCCAAATCCAATCTAAATGCCTAGAATTTACCTGTTGTTTTTCTTTTATACATATAAATAGCCGCATTTCCATTCGCTCTTTGTTTCTCATTTTCATTTTGTTCTAATATCTGCATGTAAATGTCTGAAAATAGCATCTGTAATTGAAGATTATGAAGTATAGCCAGCTCCTGACAGGCTGCTAAGGAAGATGGATTATCCTCATTTTTCTGTAAATTTTGTCAATTTTGGAATTCATAAGCTATCAACACTGATCAAAATGTGGCCGCACAGCTGTGTCAAAGCGGCCGGTGCGGTGCCGGAGCGGTGCCGGTGTGGTGCCAGGGAGGATGGCTCTCCCCTCCCCAGACAACGGCCGCGGTCCTGCCTGCCCCCGGCACCTAGAGCCAGTCGAACCCACCCCCTCAAAAAAAAATGATTTAAAAAATCAAATAAATAAATCGAAAGCATGCAAATTCTCTGGTGCGCCGACTCACATCACAAAGCGTAATTTATTGCATGTTCTCCCTTTTTATTTATCCCTAAGTAGTAAACACGATTTCCATTCAAGGGGTTCGTTATGTTCCACTCCTACCAGACAATCACGGCACACTTGAGGCAATTGTTTAGCCTCTTCCTCTCAATTTTCCCATTACTGGGAGTAAGTACTGTTGGGACTCTTTAATAGCCCGACTGCAGCCCATATCAATAACAGATGAGGTTTAATCGTCCAACACAAAAATTATTTAGGCTCAGTAAGGACATTCAATGTCATTTGCATAATGGCATTTCTATCCTGAGCACCTAACCCATCGTGCATAAACAAGGCCCTGGGACCATAAATAATAATAAATCATGACGTCCACGCTCCTCTTGCTGTAATAGGAGCCTCTCTTTGTAGAAATTATTTCAGCAGACACTGCAATTTTGAAGTCATGTGGCATCGCACAGGCCACTAAATCATGGCCATGCGCACACGTATGCACACGCACGCTCTGGAGAGGCTGCCCATGGTGAGCAACAAAAACCCAACAAACAGCAGCGCAGAAAGCAGCCCGCCAAAACCCGTCCCTCTTTTTTTATCACTTTATTTCTCAGGCAGAGCTAGCAGACTAAATGAAAGCACGGTCTGAACAGTGAAGAAGGTGATGGACCTGCAGGTCTCTTTGCCTGGCCACCCTTCCCACCTGCAGTCCTCGAACCTCTCCTGGAAGGTCTGGTGGGAAGGAAGCACAGACCTGCGGACCCTTGACGGTGTTTTGCAGCCAAGCCGCTGCCACCCCTGTCACACAGCCGGGGCAGAGGAGGGCAGCAGGCCCCCTTTCTCCACAAAAACACATGATAATGACAGCCCAAGGGAAGTAAGTGGACACTTGGTGCCAGCCAGTGAGCTAAGGTGGGCTTCCATCTTTCAGGTCCATCAGGCAGTAACAAGTGCCTGGATGAAGAGCAGCGAGACTCAAGCTCTGCTTTGGCCAGGATTCACAGAATCACAGAACCACAGAATCATAGGATCACAGAATCACAGAATTTTGGGAGT